CTCTCTCTCTCTCTCTCTCTCTCTCTCTCTCTCTCTCTCTCTCTATATATATATATATATATAGCTTTATGATTTTAACATTCCTTGTGTTATTTGCAGCCAGACCCTGAAACCTATTTACTCACAATTCAATTCGATCGGAGAGGCGTTTAAAATCAGTTTTGAGCTCATAGGTCTTGTGCGCCTCCTAGGACTGGGGAAAGGTTGGAGTGAGTGAGTTTCGGATTGCACTCTACAAACTCTGTTTTTGCACGAGTGTTTGTGCAATATAAAATACTATCGTTTTGGAAATGGGGAGTTTATCTATGTGTTTCTAAGGGCTCAAAACTTGCCCTATAGTGGATGAATGAAATCTATATAGATAAAATATAAGCATTGGCTTCAATTTTATGTGGTCTTATAATGTGCTCAGATGCTAAATTTTAAGAAGAAATTACTAATCTATTTATGGTGTTATCAAGACCAGACCAGCCAGGTTGTTCTAATTAGTTGGACGTCTGATGGTTTTTTTTTTTTTGGCCCCTGTCCCATAACAAAAATTAGGTTTCGTTGGAACCGGTTAAAGTTAATGTTTAACCGATTTTGGTGGCATTGGTTGATCTAACCTAAAGTTTTTAACTGATTAGGTCAGCTAAACAAAATTGGTGATTTTTTAATGTATTTTATATTTTTCAGCTATTATTATTTTTTTCTATTAGAAGTTTGGTTTTTTTTTTTTTCCCTCGAGCGGAAAATATTTTCCTCCTAGATGCATTAGTAGGGTTGAAGAATAATAGGGAGGTTTATGTTTTTTAACTGGATATTTGAATTTTGAAAAATGCATTTGTGTATTGATTTGTTGAGTGCCTCGGGTGATATTCAAGAGCAGTTCAGATGTTTTCCTGGCAGAGGGAACCCATGCAGATCACATGCATAATTTAAAAAATATGCAAAGAGGTCATTTACTTTCAGCATAACGTGGTCACAATCATTTTTGGCTTTTAGGTTTCAAATGGCTTTTAGGTTTAAAAAATGAGGTAGTTGTAAATATGTTATTGATTAGATTCAAATTTCTAAATTTTTTTTTGAATTTTGTCACATACTTTAAGTCATCCAATTTGATATTTGTACGAAAGATAAATGATCTTGTGGTATATAGCTAGTCTATGGGACTGTATACTATGATACCATTTTTTTTTAGGGAAAATTACATACATATATGTTGTAGTCTCTGTTATTACGGCTCTATCGAAGAGTTTACGTTATTACCAACGTATACGTTTTTTTTATGTCAAAACGGAAATTTAAAAACAAGACGATTTTACCTTTTTTTCGGTTGTTGAACAACCGAATTCAAAGTATTTTTGGTTGTTCAACAATCGAAAATACACCAATTTCGGTTCTTGAAGAACCTTAAATTTTCGGTTGTTGAAGAGCCGAAAATTTATTCAAGAACCAAAAAATGCGTTCTCTTGTGGCGTATTTTTTCTACTTTGAACTTATTAGATAAAATCAAAAGGGAACAACTAGTTTGGGCCCCTAAATTTAGAAGAAATTTTAGGGATTATGGGATTAGACGATAAAATCAAAGGGGAACAACTAGTTTGGGCCCCTAAATTTAGGAGAAATTTTAGGGATTATGAGATTAGACGATTAGGAGAAATTTTGTAGTGTATTCTCTTTCTATCTCTTATGGTTATTGGGCCCTTAAATTTAGGATAAATTTTAGGGATTATGAGATTAGACGGTTTGGAGAAATTTTGTAGTGTATTCTCTTTCTACCTCTTTGAAGGCATGGTTATTTGATAAAATCAGGTGGGAACAGTTAGTTTGAGCCCATAAATTTAGGAGAAATCTCAGAGGTTATGAACTTACCCAAAAAAAGACCATAGACGAAGGGAGAGAGAGTTTACAAAAAAACCATTTTACTCGAGATGAACAACCAACAATCCAAAATATTTTGAATTCGGTTGTTCAACAAAGAAAAATGGAAAAGTCGTATTTTTAAAAAAATTTTGTTTTGACATGAAAAAAAACAGGCATCGTAGTAATAACGGAAACTATTCGGTAGAGTCGTAATAACGAAAACTATAACGGATATATACGTAATTTTCCTTTTTTTTAATAAAATGAGCTAACAATCAGTTTTAGCCATTAGATGTGAAATCTAATAGATGAAAGTGTATCATGGCATTTGAGAAATTTTTTTTTGGATTTTGTATCTAAACAATGATATGACCTCAACCATTAGATTTCAAATCTTAACGATTAATAAATAGTGATCGTTTCTATAAGGTTGCAACCTTAAACAATCTAATTAAGGTGCACCTCCAAATTTTTTCATAATATGTAATTTTGGTATAAAAAATTCTTAAGATTATATGAAAATCTATTTTTATATCTAATTATAAAATTTTAAACTCCAAAAATAGTTAAAATCAAGTAGATGTATAAATATATGAAAATCTTGAAAATGGTCAGTCTAGGCAATATATTGCAAGCTGCACTATTTTTGAGATTTAAAATCCTTTTTTTTTTTTAATATTCATACATCTTGATATCAAGATGATCAATTAGAGGGTTTTTTAACATTAAAACAACATTTTCTAATGGATTTTTAAGGTGTATCTATAATTCTACATTTCAGGTTACGAGGTTATATAAACTTTTTTCATATATATATATATATGGAAAATACTATGCAACGCCTATAGGCGAAAATGAACAGTGATTTCACCTACCCCCATCACCGTCCAAAGTTCACGCAGTCACGATTGTCCGGTAGTGTTTCATTTTTCTTTTTTTTTTTTATAAATCGGAATGACCTGAAATTTGGAGCGTGTATTCATAAAAAATAGGGGAATATTTTTAAAAATATAAAAAAAATTATTTTACATGAAAAAAATTGATGTATTTTGGTCAATTTTTTATAGATAATTTTTTTATATATTTTTATTAGATGCACCTCAGTAAGATGTATATACCCTCCAAATTTCAGGTCATTCCAATTTGTAGAAAACAAAATGAAAAATAAAACACTACCCGACAATCGTGACCGTGCGATGAAATTTAGGGAGTGATGAAGATAGGCGAAATCAGTATTCATTTTCACCTATAAGCATTGGGAAGGCTTTTCCTCTATATATATATCTATTATACACTATAACTTGTTGAGAAAATATATATATTACACACTATAACTTGTTGAGAAAATAACATCCTTGTGCTGAATATGGACCCTCCAAGTTTTGGTCAAATATAAATATTTCGGAACTCAAAGTGCAATTTTTTTCATATGGGAGTGGTAATTCTAATTTGATCCCAAAGTTTCACAGTTTTTTTTAAAAAAAACCTCCTAAAGGTATTTAACATGAAGGATCAAATACGCTTTCGTAAAAGTATGATATACATCCTCTGATCCCAATATATGTTCCTAAGGAAACAAATAAACAAATCTTAATTTTAACTAAGAAAATTTTAAAGCATAGATAATTTCCCCTCAACATAAATGCTATAGTTAGAACGAGGCTCAGGTTTAAAGCCAAATTTCTATACCCACCAAAAAGTGTAGTCGCCTAAAATAATAATAATCTATTTTTGCTCTGGATTATGAACTTTGAAATTTGAAAACTGGTGCAAATTTTATGGATACATAAGTACTTGAACGCTTCAAATAAGGAAAATTGTTGTATGCGTATGGGGACGCATTCCTACACTTGCATCCCCTCAAGGCGTAAAATGTACGTCTTAAACATAGATGCAAATGGGTGGTCCCTTCAAAAAATAATTATACTAGTGGTCTAAATATTTTTATAAAATTATTATTTTCAAATTTCTAAATTTATTTATTTATTTTATATATTAATGATCTCCATGTTAGATATTAAGTATTTTTTAAAAAAATAAGTTCAAAATCCATCTCAAAATAGAATTTTAAGAGGGGATTCATTTCTACATATGAGCCCATATGAGTCCCTAGGACTTAGAGAAACCAAGTCCTTCAGATAATGTGTTATAAAGTATATTAATGTTATGTACTTTTTTTTTTTTAAAGGGGCATGTTTGATTACTGGAAAGTAAACATTCATTATAAACTATATTTTTTGTTTCATGGAAACTAAAATCTTATCTTTTTTGTTAGAGGAAGTTCAAGGTAACCTGTGTTTTGATAACCTAGTGAAATGTTTTAGAAGCTATGGGTAATTGTGTTTTATAACATACTGCAAGTTATGTATACCTATATTTGATAACTTGTTGGAATGTTAAAGAAGTTCATGGTATCTATATTTGATTGATAACAAGCCAGTTTGAAATGTTCATTTATGACATATAGTCTTCTTCTTTTTTCTTATAAATTATTCTCAAAAAAAAAGAAGACAATATGTCATATATGATACTCGTAATCTTCAACATGTCCAACAAAATGAATATTTAAGATCAATTGTATAAGGAATATGTCGTCCTCTCCCTCTCCATCTCCCAAAACAAACGCCTTTCATAAGGTGGCCTCTAGAGACTGCATGGCAATTAAATGGTGTCATGTTTAATTTTTAAGAACATATTATTTCTAATATAGAGATCATGAATTTGAAAAAAAAATTAAAGAATTTAAATTTTTTAAAGGGTGCGGGTTCTATAAGGTTGTAACCTTAAACAATCCAATTAAGGTGCACCTTAAAATTTTACCATATCATGTAATTTTATTGTAAAAATTTCTTAGTATTATGTTAGAATCTATTTTCATACCTAATTAGAAAATTTTAAAATCCAAAAATGGTTAAAATCAAGTAGATCTATTAATATATGAAAATCTTAAAAATGGATGGTCTAGATAATGTGTTGCTAGATGCACTATTTTCGGGACTCATATTTTTTTTTCAACATTAAAACAACATTTTCGATAGATTTTTGAGGTGCATCCGTGATTCTATATTTTAAGGTTGCAACCTTATTAAAAATTTTCTCATTTTTAAATAATAGTTTAATAAAGAAAACATTTGGTCTAATAGTTTCAATTGTTTTTAAATGAACGGTTCATTTGCATCAATCTTTAAAATCAATCTCGTTATTTTTCTGTGCTATTTTTTAAGGTTCAAAATTATAGATGTTCAACTTGATTAGGTCTCATATCCGTAATTCTTCGTCGAATAGGATACTGCCTGAACGGACGGTCCAGGTTAACAATTCTTCATCGGACGGGGCAGAACGCATTAAATATTGGAGTTAAAAACACAATGGCCTTAGCCCTAGCAGAACCTCGCCGCACTGTGAAACAGCAGCCGGTAATTCTCTCTCTCTGCGTCTCTCCTCTCTGTGCATTTCTATCTCTTCACCTCTCTCTCTCTCTCTCTCTCTCTCTCTCTCTCTCTCTCTCTATATATATATATATCTGTTGGATGGGATTTTCCCTCGTGAAAGGAGAACCTGAAGGTTGATCTTGAGGCATTGATCCCTTCTAAAATATTCATACCCATTCATCTATATGAATCCATGAACCCTGATTTCTTTCTATTTGGTGAATTTTCAGCGAATTTCGTTGTTTTTGTGCCTTAATTTTATTGTGGTGCTGCTTCGCTCTCTGAAAAAATGGTATGCTTCAAAATCCCCTTTTTTTTTGCACATTTTTGCTCGAATACTACCATTTGATTGTTAATTTGAACTCAAAATGGAAATATGATCTCTGCCTCCTTTTATATCCTTCATGTATTTTCCTTTTAGCTGGCGTTTAGGGATAATATCTCTAGTATTGAGCAGGGTTTGGAGTTGGCATTTAATACTCCAGTTTATATCTGTGTACTTATTATTTATTTGAGATTTTTCGGGTATATGGAAATCGAAAATGTGTTAATCGAACTAATAATTATTTATTGTTTGAGAACACACACAGCTGCAATTGTTTTTTGTTCAAGACATGTATTTTATTTTGATATTATTAACTAAAATGGCAAGCTAATTCACAATTGTCACTCTCGCGAATGGGGCGAACTTTAACGTTTGAAAAACAAAGATAAACTTATTTTGATTAATGCACCCTCTATGCGCTGGAACGCGGTGAAAAACTAAATGAAGGAAAGTAGTGGTTGGAAAAATTTCAAGAGGATGATTTAATTGTTAAACATGTTTTCTAGCATTTATGAATGCAAAATTATATAGAATCTAAGGTTAGAGCACCTCCAAGAATCAATATCATGAAGTATTTGCACTGCGGTTGTATTTGAGGATTTCTTTCTTATCATCATCCAATTTTTTTCGTTTGTTTTATTCGCAGTTTGTATCCTATGTTTTCTGTTCGTTTCCCATGATAAAGTGGTATTAGTAAGAAAATATCATTGAGATTTGTGATGATTAATAAATGAAAGGCAATTATCTCTTGTAGTAGGGATCGGACTCTTGACTTGGAGGGTAATCCTATGGAATCCTATTAGGATTTTCTTGACTTGATTGAATGAAGTTTCATCAATTTTTATTTTTCATGTAGCAAACTAAACACAGGCTTAAGTGCATTCTTCTCACCTTCATCCTGAAGTTTGATGAGGTGGAGATAATTAACATTGTTGATCTGTTAGACCAATAGTAGGTGTGTAAAATCCTTGAAAAGGTTGGAGCTAATAGATTTTGTTGAGTTGTGGGGCTAGTAATATTCCCACAAATGCTATGAGGGGATAAGTGTATTTTTTGCAGTGTTTTGGTTGTTGTAAATTTATCGATTCTAGTTGGAAGATAGGCATGAATTGATTGTGGAAATAACCTCTAGATGGAGAAATGATCATATTGCCCGGGGATTTCTTCATTAACTAATGAGGCTCATGGTTTTTGGTAGCTGAAATTGACATTCTCGATTGTGGTGGGTTTATAGGCCATATTCTTTTGCATTTTATCAATGGCTTTTTCTGTAGGATTCTTTATAAAACTTAAGGGTATTAAGCAATGAGGGCCCATGTTTTATTTTAGTTTGTGTCGACAATGGAGGCTTTTGGCAACTGTCCTAAAGAAAATTAAAAATAAAGCTTGCGGTTTGTCTGCGGTGTCAACCTTAAGCAATTAAAGTAATGTGCACCTCTAAATCTTGCCTAAAGATGCAGTTCTCGTGCTGTTAATCTTTATGATGGCCAAAAAATCTACCTAACTATGAAATTTAAAGCTAAAAATTTTATGTAAATCGAGTAGATCTATAAACAATTAAGACTTTTGAAAATGGACCTTCTAGATCATGTGCTACAAGATGCATTAGTTTTAGGATTCATAAATCTTTTTTTTTTTAATATCCCTGTCTTGAGGTTCGGATGATCAAATATAGGGTTTCTCGAAGTCGGAATAACCTTTTTAGGTGGATTTTGAGGTGCATCTTACTTTTTCAGTATATAGCTGACACCTTATATAAACGTTTTGGTCTTATCTCATAAAATAAATGGTGGAAATCTTTAGCAGAATCATCGGACTTTGGGTTTGGAGTTTGAACAAGGATCTTAGGCTTAGAGATGGGGAAAATATATACTATAGATAACATGTCATTCATGAAAGATGTGTTAAGAATCAAGAGATAAAGACGTATGGGGGCTCTCATATATTGTTATGAACTAGAAGAGAACAAGAGAGAGTTTTGATGAAATAAAAAGATAGTCTCTTAAGAGACATTCACTAAAGCTAGAATGAAAAAGAAACGATAGAAGTTTAGGTGGCTAAGAAAAGCACTCAATTTGTAGGATGGGGGGCAGGTAACTGATTGTCCAATGAGAAGACCATGCAGTACCACTCCTACTTTAGCTAAGTGGTCTACTTTGTCATTTGCTTCCCTCAAAATATGGTGGAATGTGACTATACCTTTTTTGGTATGATGAATTATCTTTTCTATCATATCTCTATCTTCCACCAAAATTTTTCCATCTTTGAGTCCATTGACAATGAATTCAGGGAATCCTTTTCAACATTAACATTGAGAAATCCCCCCTCAAGAGTAACATTGAGAGAATCCCCTATCAATAGTAACATTGAGATAATGTCCCTCGGTGAGTAGTTGGCTTAAGAATCCTTAAAATCTTTGCATATATCCCTAGCAATGATCAAGGTGCCCAAAGATCCGCCATCAAAGCAAAGCTTAAGGGCCCAAATTTGAGGGGGCTTCTGATGAATTGCTATAGCCATGAATGTCTCTCCTCTAATAAGATGGCCAATATCCAGTTTTAAAGAGCACTAGGCGGCACCTAGGCGGCTGTGGTGGCCCAAGCCGCCCAATGCCTAGGCGGGCGCTCAGAGCTTGGGTGGCCCAGTTAAAAAAAAAGAAAAGATAGAATTCGATAAGAGATGACCATAATCCATATTTTCATACAATGCTAAAACAATAAAACCATACAAGCATACACTGATAGTCTGATACACACAAAAGTTAGATAGTAGAAACTAGAAGTAAAAACTAAAAATAAGAAAAAGAAAATATACAGAAATTCAGAAAATATACAGTCTAGGACGCATTAGTCAGCAGTCAATACTCAACAGGCAACACTCAACACCAAGAGTCAAGCGTCTTCAACTCTTCATTCTCCAGGTATCTTCATCAGAAGGAATAGGGTAAGCTTCATCATATGCATCAGATTTGAGGCCATCATCATCAGTCATCTCCCTCTTCAGTATTACACTCGTCCTTCTCTTTTTCTTCTGGATCTCCATCTTCCTCGTCCTCTTCTTCAACCTCCCTCTTACTATGTGCACATGGGGCCCTAGGAGTCTTGGCTGCTCTACCTTTTTCTATCTTTTTGTGCTTTCCTTGAGCTCAAATATTGTATAATCTCCTCCCTGGTGGCCTTAGGAACATTTTTACACGGGGCAACATCCCCTTTAATACTGGCAAGGTGTTTTTTGAACCTGTAAATACCCCCATTAGTATCCTTTTCACAGTAATTGCATTTAATACGGTTTTTGTCATTCAGATTTGGGTTATAACCATACTTCCAATCGGGATCACCACTTCTAGAAGAACCGGGAGAAGATATTTCCATAGAACAAGAGTCATTTTCATCCTTTTTTGGTTCTTCTAAATTCAAAAATTGTCTAATCTCATCCTTAATAGTTTTAAGAATCTTTTTACAAGAAGCAACATTCCCTTTAATACCAGCAATATGTTTCTTGAATCGATTAATACCTCCATTGGTATTTTTTTCACAAAAATTACACCTTATACAATTTTTATCATTTGGTTTGGGGTTATGACCATACTTCCAACCCGGATCACTACTTGTTTCCTATAGGTTGCAATATGTATTTACAATTGGACTGTACATGACCTTCCACAAGCCAACAAGAAAAGATCAATATCATATTTTTACTTAAAATAAGTTACAAGTTGAATATGTAACATAATAATTCTTTTTAAAAAAAATCGATTGCCAGTATCTTACTTTTGTTGGTATCTATGTGTTCATATGTCAATGCAATGAATGGGAGTAACTATCGAGGGTGGAGCTTAGATGCCTAAAGTGTTAATATGTAAATCGGCCTTCTTTTATTAGAATTATTGTCAAGCAATACTCTTTCAAGTACAACCAAGTCAGGACTAATTGACTTCAAAATGAGAAGAATTGGGAAACTACCTTGAGCAAATACTAAATCACAATCCTTAGAATTTATTAGAATTGTCATGTTGCTTTATGGTGCTTTTTCGAATATTTAGCTCTATTTTATTTTATTATCCAGGTCAACGTTCCTAAAACGAAGAAAACTTACTGCAAGAACAAGGAATGCAAAAAGCATACCTTGCATAAGGTCACCCAGTACAAAAAAGGGAAGGATAGCCTTGCTGTCCAAGGTGGGTCACTACAACCAACGCCCAAGTACTCGTATGATAAATAGTTGTGCTTTCAACTGTTCTTATATCATGAAACTGCGAAAGAGAAGGCAACTTTATTTGTGAATTCTGCAGGCAAGAGACGATACGACCGCAAGCAGTCAGGTTATGGTGGTCAGACAAAACCCGTTTTCCATAAAAAGGTAGGTTTTAATGATTTTGTGATAGTATTCTACTTAAATGATAAGAGCAATCTGGTTAAAGAGTGTGTATGGGCTATTTTCAGGCAAAAACAACTAAGAAGATTGTGTTGAGGCTGCAGTGTCAATCATGCAAGCATGTCTCTCAACATCCCATCAAGGTGAGCTGCCTGCTTCTTTGTTGGGGAATGCTATGTAGCTCGAACATTGGGAGATGTCGGGACAAATTTCTATGATTTAGTGTTTGTTTTCTGATAGTGACTGAATTTGGTATTTCTTTGCGCTGCCAATAATCTATACACACGTCTTAAAATGCTTAATGGATTTTTCGTCTGAATAATTGTGCTAGGTGTGTATGTATATAACCCAGGGAACACAGACTTCTTTATAGATAATGTTATTCAAACCCTAAAGTACACAGCTATTAATTTATCCTTAGCTAATCATTTAGTTAATAGTTTTCTTTCCTTTTCATTTTGTTTTTCTTTAATAGTTTTGCATTTTGTGGAGCACAAATAGTAATTATAGTACTTCAATTTCGAATATTTGTATAAGATCTTGTTTAGGTTCTTGTATTTTGTTCCATCTCAGGCTGTGTTCCATCACAGTGACAGCCTGACAGATTGTGTTCTTTGGAAATTGTAGAGAGTTTGTTATTTTGGTTCCCACTCATGAAATGTTCAGGGGAAGTAAGAAAGGAACATTTTTCTGAAAATAGGAAAAACAGTTTGAAAAATGTTGTAGTGTTTTTAACAATACCGATTCTAAAAAGTGGAAAACTGGGGGTTTTTTAGTTTGGAATCTCCAGCCTCCCTATGTAGTTTGACTTGGGTGATTCTCTAGTGGGGGCACACCTTTTGAAACACTGGTGCATAGAATATAGTATACACTTAAAATTACACCAAGTGATATCTTCAGTACATATCCAAAATGGACACATGGATGGAGTCCACTATTTGCGTACAGCTAGTATCTGGAACTGGTGTTCGGTATTAGATATTAATCAATTATATCAAGCCAACATTGTGTACCTTCTAAAGCAACAGACTAGGTTTTTGTGCATCACTACTTTATTAGTTTAGTGAAGGCACCAGACTGACTAGCCTATGTTATCTTCTTTGCAGCGATGCAAGCATTTTGAAATCGGTGGGGACAAGAAAGGAAAGGGCACGTCTCTCTTCTAAGGTGGGGTATGCTGTTATCTCAAGATGTTTTTCTATGTTCACATGAGCATTTGTTTTCTCTATCGGATCAACGGATTGTCAAAACGGTTTTAGTTATACATGAGACATCTCAGACTCTTCTTTTGTTTGTTGTCCCACTCAATTTTTTTTCTGGGAAATTTCAACTTCTTAAAAGTTCAATAGCTATATGAATACAGAAGAGTGTGATGGGTACTCAGCCTGGTTCTGAGCCGAAGGGAATCTGTGATTGCTTTTTGGAGCGACTTACTATGATTTGGAATGGAGTATTACTAAATATGAAACCAGTGGGGTCAACAGGCTGGGACAGCCCTAGAGGCCTGGCCACATGCCGCAGGCCCTTTTGGCAGATGGATGGCGTTGGTCCGGCCTTCCTATGATTTGGAATGGCTTTCCAAATATGAAAACTGGGGAAGCAAGGCATACACCTCTAGTGACTGTGTTACACCACCATTATTCCATAGTCCATTCATGGTGATGGTTGGTATATATGATCTGCAGTTTTTGATGATGACCGTTCACCTAAATTTTGTAAATCACCACTAATTGTCATTAAGAATGGATGGTGGATGTACCGTGTACCATTAGCTGGTATATGCTCTACTTTTGCGAAAACTAAATGAAATTGCATGGGGACGTTAGTAAATATGTATCTTTTTAATGGTTCAATTTTTGTAGGGCTGTAGCTATTCAGGGTTTCACCAGCTTGTTTCGTCCTAAATCTTTAAAAAAATCCTCAAAGAGGACTGAGAATTGTGAACGTTGGGTGTTTTGTTTTCACAAGATATTAGCACCAATATAGGAGCTATTGGTGTATTTGAACAACAATTCTCTCTAAACAAGTCACTCTGAGGTATTAATGTTTTAGAACCCTATTGTCACACCATGTCACCTATTGGATATGGGATTGTATATTATGAAGCGTATAAGGAGGTCACAATTATTTTGAACTATCAAATGTGAAATTTGACGTTTCAAAGAGTGTCACATGGTTTAAGAAATTTTGTTTTGGACTTTGTGCCTAGGCAAATGATACATCTTCTGCCATCCGATTTCATATTCAATGGTCAAAAATAATTATGACTTCTTTGTATAAAAGATAAAGGATCTTATTGTATACATTTCTATTAGATATTAGTATTTTACTATTAGGAGATATTAATTTGAATATATTAGATAGTGGCTTTTACAAAGGGATTGTATGCAAGAAGACCATTTACCTTTGATACAAGGTGGTCACAATTACTTATAACCAGATGTGAAATTTGATGTCACAAAGTTTGAAAAAATCTCTTTTGAAGTTTGAGTTTGATCAAAGGGATAATTGCAGCTACTCAATTTCACATCCAATGGTCAAGATGAATGTGAGCACCTTGTACTAAAAGAAAATAGTCTCATTCTATACTTTTCTTTTTCTTTTAAAACTTTCAATATTTCACACAAATTTTTTTTTTTTCAAAACCACTTTGTTTCATTGGAGGGTTAAAATTGAAATTGTAGCTTGATGTGTACTTAAATGGACCTTTTGAAGTAGGATGACAAGAACTTTAATGGTAGGGATTGTATATCTTAAGACTCCTTATCGTTAGTATAAGGAGGATAAATTCACCCTTAGTAGTCAGTTGTGAAATGGTCGTCGGTTGTGAAATCTGACGGTTTGGGATTTGTCACAAATGGAAACCTTTCTTTAAACTTTGAATCAGATACTTATAATTATGTTGTTTTGCATCTAATTATGATTGTGATTTCTTTGTATCAAAAGTGTATGGTTTTATTGTATATTTTTTTAAAATAATATCTTATATGTATTTTGATCAAATATTTTCTTGATCCTTTTGAAGATTGACGGTTCTTTTGTCGTAGTAAATAATGTTTTTTATAATAAAATTTGAACTACCATTTGAATGGACCCTCCTATTTAGTAATACAATTGTTAACTTCCTCAAAAAACTACCTTATGAATGGAAAAAGTTCATTTAAAGGTGATGCCCTAAACAATCAAATTAAGGCGCAGTTCAAAAATTTACTCAAAGTAGTAGTATTGATGCTAAAAAATCTTTAAATCGATAATCTGGACTTCAAAACGTACGGACATGATAAAAAATGTATATTTTGTAATGTATTTTATGGGCTTTCAAAGTAGTAGTATCGATGCTCAAAAATCTTTTAAGTCGATAATCTCAACTTCAAAATGTACGGACATGGTAAAAAATGTATTTCAAATCTTGGAAAGTGTATTTCGTAATGTATTTTATGGACTTTCAATTTTCAAGATTTTCATGTGGTAATAGATCCGCCCGATCTATACTATTGCTCATGCGTTAAATATTGTAATTGGACCAGGCTATTCCAAAAATTGTTTGATTGTTTAGGGCCTGAGCCTTATACAAGCCGCACTTTTTTTTAATTAAGGGATGGTATATGATGAGACGTCACGAGCACCACAAGCTGTTTGATATAGGCATCTAGGTCGTGTCTTTTAGTTCCCAAATTTTAGTTCCCAAAATTTTCAATCTATGGTTGCTGAGAAGTGATTTAAAAAATGTTGGATTGGCATGGAATCATCCGATCTGATTCAGGAATCTATCACCTCGTGCCAATTTTATGATTATATAAGAAATTGTTTGGGTCTAGAATAGAGCTGGTGATTTTCTATGGTAAAACAACGTTTTGCTATAGTATAGTAAAAACATTGTTAGCAAACATGCCGATTAACTAATCCAAATTGGTTTTTGGCCAATTCATTATTTTTGCATGTGTTTTATGTCTGAGTAACTGTTTTTTTCGTAAAATAAAACGGCGATCCGAACTGTTGATTCACCAATCTAGATTGATTTTTACGATGTTCGATCTTGATCACCAATCTGATTTTTAAATCAATGGTCACAAATGATTGTGGCTTTTTGTACCAAATATAATCAATCTTATTATATCCATTTTAGTGATTGTGCTAAGAAAACAATATTTGTTAGTACTCTATAGGTGTGGTTTATATTACGCGTGAACCTTTAACAGTCATGCCTCCAAACCATAAACCATACCAGAAGATGCAGTTACAAATGGCTTGAAAAATCTATTTCTCATCCCTAATTATAAACTCTAGAGTTCCAAAAATAGTGTAGATTGAGCCGATGTATAAACATGAAAATGGACAGTCCGCTTAAGGCGTCACAAAATACATTATGTTTACGACTAACAATTATTTTTTGGTATTGATAGATCTTGGCGTTGAGCTGGTCAATTTGAGAGTTTTCTGAAGTTGGAATACTCTTTTTAGTGGGGTTTTTTAGATACACTTTGATTTTGTAGTATGAGGTTGATACTTTTTATAAGCTTTTTCGTTTCATCGTTTGTCGATTAATAAATAAACGAACAAAAAGAGAAAAGCGCGATTGAGGAACAGCCTGCCATCCTTGCAATAAATATAAGCCAAAGGATACAAGAGAGGATACAAGAAAGTAGAGAGAGAGAGAGAGGACACAAGAAAAGTAGAGAGAGAGGAGGAGGTAAAAGGGAAAAGAGGAAGAAGTATGGAACGGACTCTGGTTTTTCTTGCCATTCCACATCTTTACAACTCACTAAGTCCTGAAACATGTCAAAGAAGAGAGAGAAACAATGAAGGACAACTAGGAAGAGACAGAGACCAGTTAGCCAAATAGTTGGCATTCAAAAAAGAAAAGAAATTAAAAAATTGAACAACTAAGCCAAACAAGCACCCATATACAAAGAGTTATTAAGCACAATTAGCATATGATGAGCACAATAAATAACACAGAGAGAGTGGCAAAGCCTAAAATGTCTAATCATAACCCAAATAATGGCGAGTTATTTAGGACGGGATTTGTTTGACGGTTTGGACCTTAAAGCAGTTTCTTCTTGAACAGTCTGGTTTTAAAGAAGAGATAGGTTTTGGTTGGAAATTGGTTAAAATTAATATTTGACTTATTTTTTATAATTGGATTTGTTGGATGTGATTAAAAGATTAAAAAAAAATTTAAATATATTTATATTTTTGTTTGTTTATTTTTAAAAATCCGATCAAATTCGTTTACAAGTTCTATAATGAGGATGAGAGCAATGTAAAAGAAAAAAACGCCATGACCAAATTAGCATCAATCCAAATCCAAATAAGGATTAGAGAAGAATTAGAGAGAGAGAGCGGCCATGCCCAAATGAGAGAAAGAAGCTAACCTCAAACTAGCATATGATGAGCCACCATTGAGAGAGGAGAGAGTGAAAGAGAGAGAGGTGAGATAGCCCCAATTAGCATATAATAAGCCAATTAAGAGAGAGAGAGAGATAGAAAATGAGAAGTCAATTAAGAGAGAGGGAGATCTAGTGCCCAATATAGCAAATGACAGGCCAATTAAGAGAGAGGGAGAGAGAAAGGTAGGGGGTTATGGAGAGTGAGGGCCTAGGCCCCAATATACAATAAATACAAACCAATTGGGACCTTGGCCCAATTTAGAGAGAGAAAAAAAAAGGAAAAGAGAGGACTTGGCCCCCAATTTAAAGAGAAGGAGAGGACCTCGGCTCCTTGTCAATGGGTTGGTGGATTTTTTTTTGTCAAAAATGATATTATTTTAATTGAGATTTTGATCTTGGATTATGTAATTTTTTTTTTAAATCGTTGATTAATAAAGTTCTGAACTTTTATTATAATAATAATAATAACAATAATTAAAAAAAAAAGAGAAAAAAAGCCTCGGCTCCGATTTAAGAGAGAGGAGAGGGAGATGGAGGGGGGTGTCATTGAGTGACGTCACGGTCGGCAATTTTCCATAATAATTAGTGGACGTGGAGGGATACCCATTTAAGCAACACCGACCTTCTAATTCAATGCTCACCGCGTGGGTCCCATACCCCTCACAATCTACTGCCACATGGCAAACTCACTTCAGCCTCACAATTTTACTGCCACGTGGCAAACACACTTACCACTGCAATTGACACCTGGTGACGTGGAATAACAACAACCGTCGGTTTAATCTTGGAAAAACGCTCAACTAATCGGCGATTAATCGAATGCTTTTACGCACAATTATGTTTATCTCTTTTTAAGAATTGGAAAATATTCTGGGATTGATGAGTGCAACGCACCTGTTAAAAGATGTTTTTTTAATGGATGGAAATTTGCAAATTAATCATCTTGATCTTTTTAATTGGAGTAATGACCCTTATGGATTTGAAAAACAAAAGACGGACTTCATGTCTTGCTAGTTTGGGTCCTTGAAAATTTAATTTTCATGATATTCTCCTTAGAAATAAGGCATCTCCAATGGTTTCCACTAATCGATGCTCAAATCAAGTTAAATCTTCCCATTTTTCTCATTTTTTTCTACTTTAATGGGAAAATATCTTCTTAATAAATAGGTAAAAAATTTATTTTAAAAATAATTTTTTCACCCCAATTATCTCTCTCCTAGAAACTACACGTTTTCTCTCTTTGGAATTAACACCACTTAATTACCACTCTAGATTCATTTGACAACGACTAATTATTTTTAAAAAATCCCTATACAATCTTTGAAATTTCAAATTTTATGGTTAGGAGCAGAAATAGATAGAAAAATGAGTTTTAGTGGTAAGTCAAATTCTACAATGGCATATAGTAGTAAGTACCAGGTCAATTCATCTACTTCAAAT